CACTGCCTCTCCACCTGCCTACACTTCAGGCTGACTCTGTTGCAATCTCTCCTTATGCTGCTACAGAATTTGGGCAGTTGCTACCAATCTGAATTTAAAGAGGGATTGCAAGCTCTTTGCAGCAGGGACCATCTTGTTCTGTGTTTGTACAGCACCTAGCATGATGGGGTCCTGGTCCTTGACTGGGGCTTCTTATCGCTACTGCAATGCAAACTGATCTCACTTAGGGACTTATGCATCTAACCTGCTTAGGCACTTCTGAAAATCCCACCAGGTGCACACTGGCACCTAAGACCTTGAAAAGCTGGCCCCAAATGGCCATTTTTGCCTCAAAGATGCACATATATTTGGAATGTGAAATTTTTGCCTGCTTCTAATGTCAAACCATCCTTATTTGGAAATACTCCCATTTCCACTCAGGACCCAGCACTCTCAGTGGGAGGAGCAATCATCTCAGTTCACTGCGAAGATCACGGACTTCCAAGTTGGATTCATGGGCCACCAAGAACAGCAAGCCACACACAGAAGCGGAAATGCAACCGGCTTCCTTCCAGCAGCCCAGCCTCCTCCCGCAAGCGGTAATCATGGGAGCACTGATGGTAAATAGAGCCTTCACCTGTGATTCTGACCCTGCCCTTCCTGGATGGTAGAAGAGAGTAGAAAATGTTCGGAACCCCTACGTGCACAGATTGTCAACGCCTCCTTTGCTGAGGCAAGTCTACCGCTCATCTTCAACTATGCAAGACTCTGACCACTACAAAAGAAACCTTCACTCAGTGATAGAGACCTATGCAAATTACCATTCAGTGTCTCATCGGCTTTCTCCAGGCAAGCTGAGTCAAGCACCTAGCAAAAAAGTTTCCAGGGTCACTTGTCAGCTGCCATAATCCTGGATCCCTATAAGTCAGGTTTCAGGTTGCACCGTGGTACAGACGGAACCCTTGCTGCTCGGACGGTTGAGCTCCGTAAGCATCCTGCTAGGTCTCTCTGTCCCTTTTATACTGTTCTTCACCAAGTACTCCTGTCCCACCAGCTGAAGGGGGAACAGAAATGCCCTGAACTGACTCAGATTCTTCTTCTCATGCCAAACCCAGAAGGTAGTTATAGGCATCTTTCAAAGCCCTCCCCTCTGAGTCACACACGCTTCAGTCCTCTCTCCCATATTCTTCAACATTTATACGATGCAGTTAGGGGGAACAGTGCGACCACAAGGGCAGAAGTGCTAGTCCAGTTCACGGTGTCTCCTGATATTCAAAGTTCTTAATGGCACTGGTCTAGCTACCTGAGGGGTCACCTCTCCCTCTCAAATATGACTTCCCACAACAACTACATTCCACTGGAAAAATGAAACTATTGTGGAGGGAAGAAATGAGCATGGGGTACAGAACTTTGACAGAATCTGGGCCTAGACTATGGAACTCACTCTCCACAAGAGACAAGGATGACCAGGAACATCACCTATTCAGAAACAAATGCAAAACCTTTCACTGACATGGCTTCCCCTCAATACGTTCCTCTCACGTACACAAAACCCCAACAGTCTAATCACGAGACTTGCTTCTTCCCGCAGAGCAGCAAGAAAGAAAGGTCCTAATATTGCTTCTTATTTTACATCCCTGGATGTACACTCCGATAGGGCCTCTCACCTAAGGATCTCAACATGTTTTAAATATTATCTCCCTTTTATAGATGAGGAAAACGAGGCCCAGAAAGGTTAAGAGATTTGCCTGAGGTCACACAGTGAGGCAGTGGTTTCTGACCCAGCTCTAACCACTAACCACAACACTACCTTTCTAACATTTGGTTCTTTTTCTCAATTAAACCTCCTGTCAAGGCTGGATCCCCACTTTGAACTTTAGGGTTCAAATGTAGGGGCCTGCATAAAAACTTCTAAGCTTATTTACCAGCTTAGCTTTGGTCCGCTGCCACCATCACAAGAATTCCCTCCCTGGGAAGCCTTGAGAAACCTTTCACCAATTCCCTGGTGAACACAGATCCAAACCCCCTTGGATCTTAAAACAAGGAGAAGTTAACCATCCCCCCCTCCTTCCTTCCACCCTCCTTTCACCAACTCCTGGTGAATACAGATCCAAACCCCCTTGGATCTTAAAACAAGGAGAAATCAATCTGGTTCTTAAAAAAGAAGGCTTTTAATTAAAGAAAAAGGTAAAAATCATCTCTGTAAAATCAGTATGGAGAATACTTTACAGGGTAATCAAACTTAAAGAGCTCAGAGGACCCCCCTCTGTCTTAGGTTCAAAGTACAGCAAACAAAGATACACACTCTGGTAAAAAGGTACATTTACAAGTTGAGAAAACAAAGTAAATCTAAGACGCCTTGCTGTCTTTTTACTTACTAGTTTGAAATAGGAGAGACTTGTTTAGAAAGATGGGGAGAACCTGGATTGATGTCTGGTCCCTCTCAGTCCCCAGAGCGAACCACCCCTTAAAACAAAGAGCACACACAAAAGCCTTTCCCCCCCCAAGATTTGAAAGTATCTTGTCTCCTTATTGGTCCTTGGGTCAGGTGTCAGCCAGGTTACCCGAGCTTCTTAACCCTTTACAGGTAAAAGGATTTGGAGTCTCTGTACACAGAGAGCTGTTACCCTTCCCTTCATAGTTATGACACCTCCAAATGGCTTCCTTTTAGCCCATCACCAATTAGGACTGCATTGTTATTTATCAGCAATGCTGCTACAGGACTGACCCAGCCCGAGCCGCTACTGAACCAACATCACACAAAACCAAGGCAACCACCCAACTCATCGCTGAGCATATGGCACTAGACGTCTTATGGGTAAGAAGCTGGTTATGTGGCTAGACAACAAGAATGGCCTGTGGGTGGGGTACCCCTAGGACTTCAGTGACCTGAGTTCAATTCCCTGTTCTGTCACAGACTACCTGGGTGACCTCAGGCAAGTCACTTAGTTGTGTGGTGCCTCAGTTTCCCAGATGTCAAATGGGGATAACAGCACTTCACGAGGGGAGGTGAGAATAAATCCATCAAAGACAGTGAGGTGCTCAAATCCTATGGTAATGGGGCCCATATAAGTATCTCAGATTGAGAGATGTCCTTATCCCTGTTTTCCTGGGGTGACTTCAGAAGCATGAATCTCACCCCACCTGTCAGAAAGGTTGTGCTCTACTTGTTTGTTTTAGTGAAGCCTGACACGGGCTCAATAGGGAGGGAAGGAATAATTTGGTCTCAGATGCTCCAGGGCATACGAAGTGAGCTGGAGTAATGAGCTCACAGCGCTTGGGGAAACTTCCCTTGAGTCTCTCACCTCCCTTAGTAGGTGCCACTGAAACCCGTGGGGACCTGTTACCCAAGTAGCACAGGAATAACCACCAGCCCAGGGACAGAAAAGACAAGCGGACTGAAAGTGTGTGTGCATAAGGTGTATGGAAAAGAAGGAAGCTGATAAACAGCTTGCACCAAAATACAGGGGCCATGACTAGACTGGCAGCGTGTGTGTGCAGGACAGACACAGCCCTGGAGAAGCCCAATACTGGAACAGCAAGAGATGGTGGCTGGGAAGGAGTGAGCTGCAGTGACAGAGCTCTCTAGAGGTTCAGGCTGGAATAAGAGAGGGTGCACTTAAAGTCAGGATTAAGAGACTTGATAAGAGTTGTGCTGGGTCACAGCTAGGGTTCCTGCAGGGCGGGACTGAAGTACCTTGGCAGAGGGGATTAGGATGGGGGTGGGGGGAAATGATGGCATGGAAAGGTAGTGCAGCAGATGTGGGTACACAGAGGGCCTCGATGCTCCAGTTGCTTTTGGGGTGAGATGTCATGAGGATACAATGTAAACCACGAAGACACTATCATGCATGTTGGTTTGCATTTGCCATTCATCACTTACGGCTGCCTAATTGTTGAATGCAATTACTGCAATGATAGTGGCTGTTTTTACACAAAGGACATTTGCTTTCTTCTCTCTGGTTAGCTGATGGTGTTGTTTTCACCTGTATATTACAGTTACACTGCAGATCATCTGAGGGTCATTTGGGACTCAGCTGTTAGCCGACTGAGGCATTTGGTTTAGTCTCAGGAATGCTAGAGTGTGAGATATCATACACAAATCTCCCACAATGCCCTATAGATATAATTGCTAGATACTGTTCACCAATACAGAGCTAAGATACCTCTGAATGAGATGGTGGTTAGTCAAAGTGTCAGCTAGAACAAAGTCAATGTATTAGGAGAGTATTGTGCAAACCCTCCCATGAAAAGCTCTGCCAATGGACCTCAATGCCAATGTCCCCTTGGAGAAGGGCAGCGTGGTCCAGTGGTTAGGGCACTGGCAACCTGGGTTCAATTCCCTGCTCCACTACAAACTTCCTGTGTAACTTTGTACAAGTCACTTAGCCTCTTTGTGCCTCAACTCTTCATCTGTAAAGTGGGGCTAATAGCGCTGCCCTGCCTTACTAGGGTGTTGTCAGGATACATTCATAAAGAATGTGAAGTGCTCAGATATTCTGGTAATGGGGGCCATAAAAATACTTAAGATAGTCCTGACCTGCAGCTCCCATCCCTGGTTATTCCAGTCCTGAGTCCCACACAATTCTCTTGAATTGTAACCTGCAGCCACGCTCCCTGCTACTCTGTATCTGGGACTCCCACACAGCCCTGCCGATGCATCTCACTCCCGCACTGCTATAGCCCGGTTATTGCAGACCTGGTCCATCTCTGATCGAGGAGGATCAGAAGTGCTCTCTCGAAGAGTGGCTTTGTGTAATTACATGCATTTACAGGATGCCGTAGACTTTCACTTCAAGCAAGATTTGACCCCAAGGTCTCCAGAGCGGAAAGGCCAATATATGATCGCCTTTAGCACCACCCCTCAATTATGTTGATTACAGTCCAGGCTCGGAAAAATCCTCCGGACCTACAACTCAAAGGAAACCCACCCCAAAGGAAACCTCCACAGACCAGCTCTCATTTGTAGAGATTCAAAGGGTGCCACCTCATTCAGACACATCTGGAAACAGGCAACTTACGCGAATTTTAATAACTCTTGTTTTTGCGCCACAGTTCTTCTTGAGCAGCATCTTCTGGAAGAGAAACAGAATGCAAGGATTAGTAGCAGTGGTATGGTGGGAAGAGACACAAAGCCTGCATGGAGTCACTTTACATCAAACAGGATGGATGGTTCAGAGGAGTAAGACAAGACAAGAGTAACAGATCAGACCAGTGGTCCATCTAGCATACTGTCTTTGATGGTGGCCAATACCAAGTACTTCAGAGAACGGTGAAAGAAACCTTCTAGAGGACAATTCTTGAAGAACTTGCCCACCAGGGAAGTTTTTTTTCCCCTAATTTCCATCAATTAGTGATTGGTTTAGGCCCTGAAGCAGGAGAGTTAATATTCCTTTTGGAAGAAAAAAATATTCTATTTAATGTAAGTGTGGATGTTCCCATTATCCGTATTTATTTATATTATATTTATTTATGTAGAGTTACATAATAGATTTAAAAAGCACCTACTCATGGCTCTAGGTTCCTCTGGCAGGTATTCAAAAAGCCATCACACTTGTCATAAAATATGGAACCATACACCTTGAACAGGAGGAGTTTGTTACAGAAAACAGCTACAGAGACAACCAGGCTTCCCACTTGTTCCCTTAAGACAACTTGAGTCCCAGCTCTATCTCCTTTGTTCATCAGGAAGTTTTATACAGCACCCAGACAAGTAGGGGCTGAATAACATCAGAGCTAGTCCAAAAAAATGTGACACAAACTTTTGTAGTTGGAAAATAAGAGCTTTATTGAAAACTAAATATTTTATGGAAAAATATTTCAGTGAAATATTTCAATTTTTCAAAATGAAAAATTTGGAGGAAACACCAGTTATTGTATTTATTTTTGTATATAAATAGTGGATTTACCCCCCTTTCTGTTTTCCACTTTTTACTAGCTGGAAAACAGTAACAAAGTATAGAAAAGTGTTTTCTTCCTCGCTTTCCTACACTTTGCTATTGTTTTTCAACTTGAAAAACATTCCCCCACTTTCTGTCTGATTTCCAACTTTTGCCAATTGGAAAATAGTAACAAAGTGAGAAGACTGGAGTACTCCCCAGTTTTTCGCACTTTTTTTAAACCTCTCTCTTCCTTTTTCCAGTGAAAAAACAGGCAAAATACATAAAGAGGGAACAAAGCATCTGAAAACTAAAATAAAAAACAAAAAACCACAAATATTTGGTTAAAAAAAACTAAAACAAAAGTAAACATTTGAGGTTTAAAAAAAAAAAAAGTTTTTTGTCCTGAACAAAACAACGAATTCCCACGGAAACCAAAAAATTTTGATCCACTGGGAAAAAATTATCCCATTTTTTCACCAGCTCTAAGTAATCTACTGTAAGTAAACACACCTTTAAAATACTAGTACAAACAAAGAAAACAAAGCAACCTCCCAAAACTTGGAAAGGGAAGAAAAAGCCACCCACCACCAGCACAAATACCAGGGCAGGGCACCCAGCCCTCCACAAAAACATCCCTCCCCAGATACCTGGGGAAAGAGATGGGTCTTGCAGTATGTCTTGAAAGCTAATAGATTTGGGTTTGTTTGGACCAAGTATATTTCAAAGTGTAGGTGCTCTGAGAACTGTTAATAGCTGACAAATATAATTAGTTACTTGCCTGAATCCACCATTTTCACTGGCCATCTAAGGGCTTTGTCACAGCTACACGTATTAGTTCCCGCCCCAGAATTCTGCCCTGTAACCACAGCCTGTGATGTCAGTGCAGCCCCAAGGTCTCTAACCTGAAGAGACTGCAGCAGCAATTAGCACAAACTAGGTGCAAGCAGACAAAGAGAACTGCTGAACTAACCCAGGCCTGTGCCATCCGGCTCAGCGAGTAATTCTTTGGGAATTCCTATAAAACAATGCAGGGCTCCATTCCCAGCACTGCTGCGAGGGAGTTATTGTAAACTTGGTATTTACTGAGAGGCGACTGCCTGTTTTTAAGACCCCCCTTGATTGCTGAGTGAGATGAGGGGAGGGCCGGGCGCGGAACCTAGTGGGGCTAAATATCCTTTTACAAAGAGACCGACTGCATGGTACAGGGTATGCAGAAGCTAAGAGTCGTGGGGTCTTACAGGGTTTTGTCCTCACCACAAGTATCTCTTACAAAGCCACTGTGTGATGTCTCACTCTCACCATATCTACCCACTGTCTGGGAGGGTAAGGTGAGTCCTCCCAAGACAAAAAGTTTACATGCTGGTCGGCTCTGAGGGGAGGAACCGCATACAAGGGGGGGCAGCATGGTCTAGTGATGAGAGCCTAGGTTTTAATCCCACCTCAGAGGGGAATGTTGCTAAAGCAGGGAACTGGGCAGCCAGGACTCCTGGGTTCCAATCCCAGCTCTGTTATAAACTGTGTGACCTTGGGCAAGTCACTTGACTTGTCCATGCCTCTGTAAAACTGAGCTTATACTACTCAGCAATCCCCGAGGGGGCGGGAGGGAGTTACAACACTTAATTCAATGACACTTGTAAAGCATTTTCCACAGCTGAGCTATAGAAGAGCAAAGCATTGTCAAGCAGCCTGCTTAGCCCAGCCCCTGCTTGCAGGAGGCAAGCATGGTACCTCCCAGCCTCCCCTGCACAGCTTCCACTGTTTCAAGGGTTCCCACTCATAGATCCCTTTACTCCGGCAAGGTACCATGTATTCACACCATTCCAAATAGCCAGCTTCAAATTAGCATGGACACCAAGGCCCTGATGTTTACTCAACCCAGCCTCTGACTAAATGGGGGACAATTCATTGTGACTGCAGCTGCACTTATGTAAGTACCTAATGCTCTTAAAGAAGAAGCCAAAAATTACTTGACTAAATACTACATATTTTAATGAACTGGCTTAGGAGGGAGTGAACAGATAGATGGATGGACAGAGCTCAGTGAATGGAACTAGTATTGCTCAGCTGTATCATAAGCCCTATACTGCTAACAGATAAATGGAGATTCTCTTTTACCTAAAGTAGTAGGGCTAAACTTTAAGAGTGAGAAGATCTTAGTTCTATCCCTGCTTCTGCCATGAAGTTCCAAGTAGCTGTGGTAGACAGCATGTTGGTAGCTATGAAGTCTTGGGCAGCCATGGACTTGTTACTTGGTAATGACCTCTCTGGTATGCCCCCTGCTGGACTTTCCCTGGGTATAGAAGTAAAATCTAGGGATGAGGGAACTCTAAGAGGTTCTGAGGTTTGGATAAGAACTGGTGCACCTCAGTCCCTTTGATTCTCTGCCTGTCGTGCATAATGGTCTTGTCTCCTGTGGGGTGTAATACTTTGGTCTCATTTTAGTTGTCGGGTCTAGTGTGTGGCTGTTGAGGGGTGCGGGTGGCCTGTGATGTACAGAAGGTCAGACTAGATGGAGCTGGTGGTCCCTTCTGGCCTTAAACTCCAGGCCTCTATGTGTGCCCCACCCAGGCTCTTGTGTCTGCAAAGTTGGGCCATAAATCTCTGGTGTCTGGCTTCTGCTTAGGCGGGAAATAAGGGGAGAGCAACTGTGTTGCAGAGTTTCAGCTTTGCCTTGAGGATCGAGGCGGTGCAGAGGGGCATGAAATGTTTTTGCCCCTCAAAATAAGAGTGGGTCCAGCTGCTTTATCCAGTGAAATTTCTTGCTGCTTTGCTCCTAATCATGCTGCCATCACCCCTCTCCATGGAGGGCTGCAGCACCCCAGCAATGGTACAATTACAAAATAAAGTCAAGCCTCTTTGTATGGTTTTACGTCCCTCTGGTTCCCTGTTCCAGAGCCAGTTCACTGCCAAGCCCAAGCGCTGCCTTTCAGATTAGGAAGCTAAAGCATGCTGCTGCCTAGCAACAACGTGGGGACTTTCCAAGGCAGCCCCTTCTCATCCTGGCTCTCTAGAGCTTTCAGTCCGGCTCTGAGAAGCAGAGACTCATTAATTCATAGACACATAGGTACAGACATGGCTGAAGTAACATTAACGTAGCTGCATGACTTGGAGCAGCTTAAAGCTGGGGGAAAGGCCCATAAGAGAGGTGGCACATCCCGTTACCACTGTGTTACCCTGCTAGTAGCCCTTAATTTCCCATTTTGCAGATGGGGAAACTGAGGCAGGGAGTGGTTACATGATTTGCCTGCAGTCACAAACTAGCAAATGAGTGGCAGAGCTGGGAATAAAATTGGATGCTGATTCTGAGCCAAGACTATCCTTCTTCCCTTGGCAATAAAGGGAATGGGATGGAAGAGGCACCTTTCCTACTCCCAACCCCCTCATTTAAACTAAAATGTCCTTCCTGTCGACCTCAAATTGGCTGTAGGCTTTAGAAGCTGAACTACAGTTATCAGAGCAATAGAGAGCATATTGTAACAGGCCGGTGGCTCCCAACGTGAAGGCAAAAACAAATTGACTGAAGAAAAGAAAAGTTTCTTCCAGGACTGCATGCTGAGCCGCTCTGAAGTGAAGGCTGAATGAGCTGACCGAGGGTTAAATTTTTGAGCACAGCATAATCAGTTCAGCCTAAGAAATCCTCCCACCCACTCCACCTCCTGCACACAAGAGCATGCACAGCGATCCCCTTTATCCCAGACTGGGATTTAAAAGAAAATTGCAGTGATTCAATACAATCACTTAGAGAATTACATAGCCACTGAATAAAATATTGCAACTAACCCATGATCCCCTAGGACTTGGCTGTATATCACAGCCATTCAGAGTGGCATGTAAACAGCAGAGACAAAACACTGAGCCTGCTGCTCTTAAAGCACCACCCTCCTAAACACTTGTGCTACAGCAGAAATCCCCATGTAGGCATTAGCAGTATAGAGTCTATGACATGCTTTGGAGCAGTTCTGTTTCTGTCCAGTAGAAGTCACTGCACGTTTATGTTTATACAACCACACACAAGCTACCATGCTACCAAGTTCTTTGCAATCTATATTAATAGACAAAAACATAATTACCCTTTAAGTTAAGGTTGCTTCACTAATTAACATGAATGTTAAAAGATACGAATTCTAACTCATGTTACAATTTTTAGAAAATGAGCATTTAAAACTATGGAAATGAACAGTGAAAGGAAAGTG